TATTCATAATGTGTTTGTGGGGTTAGGGGTGTGTGTGTGTGTGGGGGGGGGGGGGGGGGTTAGGGTCTTTAGGCTTTGGCCCCCCACCCCTGCCACCAGTATATTTTTAAGCAAATATTTCTAGCTTTTATTTGAATATTCAGTTTCCTACCATCTTCTCTTAAAGGGTAATTGCCAGGTATCCCGTCCTCTCCCTTCGCACACACATGCACACAAAGAAAACACACAGTATAATTCACAGCCTCATTATAGTGAATAAATATTTATGCCATTTACACCAAACTTAGATTGCTAAGGATGAAGAACCTTTTGTTCTTTAAAGAACCATTTGTAATAGCTGAAGAACCATCCACAAAATAAAAAGGTTCTTTGATGTATGATGGTTCTTTAAAGAACCATGAAGCCGTCTGAAGAACCATTTAAGAACCATAATTTTTCTGAGTGTAGGACAGACACAGTTAATACAATTAAAACAACAGTCTGACATTACATGTGAGTACATGTGACTTTTCTATTTTGCTAAAGGGATACTTGGTAAAGTTATCAGAGTTTAGTTGTTGTAAACCATTATTTATTTTATTTAGAATAGTTTTGTTGAGTAAATTCAAAATTGTATTTCTTGAGATGATCATAATCTTACCTGTAGATCCAATGTGAAAAAGCAAAAGGAGCATTATTTGGTTCACCATTGTGTTTAGATAATTGAGTTAAAGTAAAGAAGTCAGAAATGGTTTTACAGGTTTGTTCAGTCTGAAAATATTTCCTGGTTTCTGTTACATGCTGAGTATTTGAAGCGTATTCTGGTAAACAAATGTTTAATCCAACTATTCCAGAGGTTATTCTATAAAGAGGCTTATGGTCAAAAAGACTAGATCAGTGTTTTTGTGAAAACTCATCGTTTTTCGTTTGGGCCATTCGCCTGGGCTTGTGTTTGTTAAAGGCCAAAAATAGGCTACGTTACATAGCACAGATCTTGACACATTAAGCACCTCAGGGTACTTTTTTCTTGTTGGGTTTTTTTTTTCCCCTGTGCTGCTTCCTGGTTTAAATTCTGCAAATATTTAACACAGAGAGCTTAGCATACTGAATGTGATTCAGTTACTCAGCTTAAGAACATTTAAATATTATACTGTATTTCTAAGGCACCTTTGATTCCATCATAATTTGAATATGTTTTAAATCCCGTGTGATTTAATGCGATACACATTAATGCATTATATACTACGAAGAAAAAAAAATTCTGCCAGCATTGAAGAGGGGCCACAGGATTTGGCTATAAAAGTCGTATTATTAAGCAGAAACATACATAAAAGTAGTTTCTAATTCAAATAGTGTGAATGTTAAGGTTAAATGTTCTGTCATGACGTTTCACCAGATTTCACCAAGACGTACAGCTGTTAACTCTGACTGGAAAACTTCATCTTGGATCCTTTGGCATAATACATCTACACTGTGTGATAGTCAATAGACACGCTCTAATGTTTAAAAGTCACCCTGAGATGAGACCATAACCAAATGTTGTCTGCTGGAGTCATTACTGTATATGATTTTGGGGCTATAGATAAATGAAAATGTGAAATTAAAATGTTTGAATAATGAATCCAAAATACCTCACTAAATGTCCCAGATGAGTCTCAGACTCATCTTACAGTTTACTTGTTCATGCTGCATGATATATTGATTAAATATATCATCTGTCCTACTATGTGCTGTCCAGTAAGGTTGGAAGTCATGCACACAAAAACCTTGAGGAGCTTTCTGTGCTGCCCCCCTGTGGTGACAGTGTAAGTTACTGTTAATATTGGAAGGAAAGGCAGGAGAGACACTTTCAAAGCCTGTTCTGCTCCTATGTGTCTTACAATTTAATTAATAACACATGATTAAACATTCTTTCATAAAGTATTCATACATTTTGTAAACAAATTAGATAAATGTTATAAGAAAAAAATGCCAACCATATTTTACAGTCAAATCTAGTGGAGTTCTTTTTTTCGTCTGTCCCGTTTGGTTCTTTTGCCATCAGAATTGTTGTCTAAAGGCAAAGAAAGATGCCCAATGGATTTACTTTACCAAATGGACCATCCCGGCCTTGCCGTATTGGTCTATTTGATTCACCTTTGCTTTCATTGTTTATTTTACTTTCATTTGCTGAACACGGGACAAACTTGACTGGGGAAAAGAAAAGGGAGAAAGAAAGAGGGAAAGAAAAAGAGTGGGGAAGAGGGCCGGTGATAAGGGGCAAAAACCAACAAAACAAAGAGACAAAAAATACATATATCAATCACCTGGATCACCTGTTGAGAAAGAAAAAAAGAGAAAACAAGCAAAGAAAAGGAGAGCTGTCATGGTCCCTGTGCCTCACCAGCTGATCCTGTATTAGGCAACATGTTTTTCTCTTTCTCTCTCTCTCTCACCTGTCGGGGCAGTGCTCATTATGGGCTCCCGCCCCTGGCCCACGCACCTGCTGCCTTTCGGGATGATCGCAAGGCCGATTTAAGACAGCAGCACTGTGTCACTTGTCGCTGGATCGTTGATCTACCAGCGTCAGTCTCTCAACCATTAGTGAGGTAAACTCCGTAAAGTTGTTTCCATTCATCATTAACCCCTGTCTCTGTGTGCAGATCTACCCCGGACCTTTCCCTGCCTGCCTGAGTGAGTGGATTTGTGTTTCCCCAGTGTGGGGAGTGAAGAGAGAGAGCCTTTGGAGTGCGTCTGATTCCCGTCTTTGCCCTCACATACCCCGGAACCCTGGACCCCCCTCCCCTCCCTCCAGCACGTTGTAAATAGCATCACCTGGTGTCGTTGTTTAAATAAACTGATTGTTAACTCTGTAAAGATTCCCGGTCTGCGCCTGAGTCCGTTAACTAAAACGTGACAAGAGCAAAGGAGAGCCCCAGATGAGGGGTCGCTCAGCAGCTGCAGAGCAGAAGCCAGGGGGGGTTGCAGTAACGTGCCCGTGAGCTCCGCCTGCAGTCAGCTGTGCCAGAGTAACCAAGCCCCAGGCCGAGAGGCCGAGGGCACCCCACCCCCAAAGGAGCCCGAGCGAGCCCCAGGCTCCAAGCCCCGACAAGCAGCCGCCAGGATTGAGGCGGTGTGTGCCTGGACGCCCACCCCCACACACAAAGAACCACCAATGCACCGATGTCTGAGGGCGTCTGCCACTGGCAGGGGGAGTGGTGGGGGGAGATAGGCCTCCATACCTTAGAGGGCCTGAGATGTTCCCAGAGAGGTGGCGTCTGATACCCGACCTGACACACCAACAGGCACACACAAATACAAACATCCATTCCCACCCTCATGTTTTCACATGCAAATACTCAGCACTCACCCAGCGTGGAGACAGACATAAAGAGACGCTGTACACACAATCACACTGCCCAAGCATACTCTAGACCCCAGGTCTAGGTACCCTTGCCCCTGGAGGGGGAAATTGCACCCAGACCCAGTACCTTAATTTTCAACTTCTGTTCAGGATAATCCCAGTAACAGATTGGAACTGAACCAGTGACCTTGTGCATGTAATTAAAATGTGTAAACCACAAACTACACCAGAAATTCAGTATGAAACTCCCTTCATTGACACAATTCCAGCATTTAAAAGTTATTTAACTGAACTTTTAATCATTTCAAATGTTGTTAGATTCATCCATCTGTTTTCTTACCCAGTTGTCCAGCTTAGGAGGCAGAGTACAGGTCAACAGTCCAGCACAGTGAGATGGACAACCCCACACTCTCACAGCTTACACCTATGACTAAATCAGCAATTAACCTACATAGGTTAACTGGTGAATTACTTAGGTTACCTGTGCAGACACAGGGGAAAAGGTACAAATTCCCCACAGAAAGCTCTACTGAGGGGTAACAGTGATAAGCAAACAGCACCTTGCTGCGTTTGGTGGTTTCAAAGCTAACGCAACTGACAAAAGTTTTCTCTGAAAGCGTTTTGTTGTGTCACAAAGTCTCTACTTCCTCAGTGTTCTTACTTCATTGTAGCTGACTCAATAACTCTTTATACAGTGTTTGTGTCATACATTTAGACTTCAAACAAATGCTAAAATACTTTTCTGGCACAATTTAGATTTTGTAAAAGATTGAAATGTACAATGAAGTAAGGTACCTTGATATATTTCTGTTTTCACTGCAAGCCTATTCTTACTGGAGCCGGTAACCATTGCAAATAAATATGAAATTGTCCTGCATTTCCTGTCCTAATAAGTTTGCCATTTATTCAAGCCTGAAGTGGTCATATTTGGATAGAAGTATCCACATGTGGATACATACATGTTTTTTTTAAAGCACAACAGTTGTTATAAAGAAGACTAGTACATTTGGGATGATGAAACAAAGAAAAATGTTTTATGCCCTTTGTCAGGAGAACCAAATGATGAAGTAGAAATGGACAAAGAGTGAAAATGGGGGGAGAGACAAAACAAAGAGAGGAAAAGAACAGCAAAACAACTTTGGTGTTGAAGGCAGAGTTAGCAGGATGTGGTGAATATCCTGCTTTGTTTGCATCATCTCCATTTTAAGTGTTTCACATTATTTTGAAGTAACATCTTGAAGTTCCTCAATATGCTCAGTTCATTGTAGCCCGACACAGAGAAACACACAGGCAGTGCCTCTTGGCCAGACATCTTATCTCAACATGTCTTCAGAACTGGAAACTGCCCCACATTTTAGAGTGAAATACAGCAGTGGGGCCAATGAAAATGGAGAGGTGAAGACGCAGTACCAGGAAGTTAACTTACCACAAGGCGGTACGTAAAAACGAATCTTCAGGATTCGTGTGTTTGTATTTATTGTTTTAAAACTACTTGGTCTTTAGTGTGACTAGAAGAACACATCATGATCTTGTTTTAGTTCCTATGACTATAACCACATGGTCACCTTATGGTAAATTTGTCATAACAGATTAATTCAATTCAAAGAAAAATTGATGTTTAAAGTCTGTCAACGCTGCTTCATTAATGGTTTCTTTATAGATGGACAAACACAGAAGAAAAGAAGCTGTTTCAGAGCTTTTAAAGTGTGCCTGGGAGTGCTGTATCTTCTGATTCTCGCTGGAATCACGACACGCTGTGAGGAATTTTATTCCAATAACGACGGCAGTATTATTTCCACATTAGATATTTTTAAGCAACATTATTTGATGCTGCAAGTCTACTATTGTTTCCTTCCTCTTCTGACTTCATATTTCCATTTAAAGCAACCACCCTACAGTGTTTCCCCATGTGTGTTACACTGCTTCTGCAATATGACCACTGCTGAGGTTTTTTCTTCTTCTTTAATTGACAATGTAACCAGAGTAGGCGTATCTTCTCTTTATATATCATCATAAACATTGTTTTACAGTCATTTTATTGTTGTAAGCCCACTAAAGAATACTAAGCTAACCACCTTCCTCATCTGACTCCTGAGACCTGTACCATAAAGCATTATTTGGGCTTAACAACAGAACTTCAAGTTTAGTCTTAAGCTTTAGATCTTACAAAGGCAGATCACTTCTTACTGGGGTACCACTGGGTTTGTTTGTGATTTGAGATCATTATATACTATGCAACTCCTTACTGACCAATCAGTTCACTGGGAAATAGCGTGACCATGCCTGATCAACATCTACAAGCACTGGTGTGCTGTTAATAGGAGGATCTGTAGGTCTTAGATATAGTCTAAATGTTTGCTCTTTGCTTGCTCTCACAGCATTTAGCCTCAGATTGGAGCTGCAGCTGAAGGAATAAGGCTAAAACTAGCAACATCAAACAACATCAGACTGTTATTTAAATGGAAATGCATTGTAGTTATAGTCAGTTTATCCTGTGATTCATGAAAATCAAATCTGTGAAACTGATATATCTTCTAACTCACCATTATCATTCATACATCTCTTCTTAATACCACACATACTATACTTTTCCTTTTGAGATACAGATGGTCTGTCTGTGGCAGCTGTTTTATCTGCTTCTTAATCTGTCCATATTTTCCATAAATTATAGTTTAATCCTCTATGTTAAATATTCTAATCTGCTGTTAATAGACCTGTCCATGTTTGTTATTAGTCATATGCTAATCAATGCTCTTAGTCACTTACATACACATGCAGGTTAAAGGAGAGCGGTAACAGTGAATAACAAAATTACTTTGGAAAAAAAACTGCGATGCTGATTTTTACAATAAAAATATGGCTGTATTTATAAAGTTGAATATTTAGATGTTTTTAGTTTTTGCTTTGTTTTATTTCTAAGCAGATATTTCAGTCACTTTGGAAAAAGAGCAGCTGCAGAACAAATACAACAAACTGAACAACAATTACAGCCAACTGCAAACCCAACTTTTAGGTAAGAAAGTTGTGCCTCATGTGCAAATATAGCAGTACTCAGAATTGTATTTTATACTTGTTTTATTAACTATTTTCTTCTTAGGTCATGGAAGTGAATGTATATCAGTTGTAATATACTATCACCAAAAGTGTTCACTGAATTCAGGTGTTTCAATCACTTTTACAGCCACAGGTGTATAAAATCAAACCCCTAGGCATGCAGACTGCTTCTACAAACAGTTTTGAGAGAATGGGTCGCTTTCAGAAGCTCAGTGAATTCCATCGTGGTACCATGTTCAACAAGTCCATTTGAAAATTCCTTGCCACCTTTCTTTGCAAGGACACTCAAAAGCCTGCCATCCATGGATTCTGTCAGTGTTTTGATCTGTTCACCATCAACATTGCGTGCAGCAGCAACCGCAGCCTCCCAGACACTGTTCAGAGAGGTGTACTGTTTTCCCTCCTTGTAAATCTCACATTTGATGATGGCCCACAGGTTCTCAATGGGGTTCAGATCAGGTGAACAAGGAGGCCATGTCATTAGTTTTTCTTCTTTTATACCCTTTCTTGCCAGCCACGCTGTGGAGTACTTGGACGCGTGTGATGGAGCATTGTCCTGCATGAAAATCATGTTTTTCTTGAAGGATGCAGACTTCTTCCTGTACCACTGCTTGAAGAAGGTGTCTTCCAGAAACTGGCAGTAGGACTGGGAGTTGAGCTTGACTCCATCCTCAACCCGAAAAGGCCCCACAAGCTCATCTTTGATGATACCAGCCCAAACCAGTACTCCACCTCCACCTTGCTGGCGTCTGAGTCGGACTGGAGCTCTCTGCCCTTTACCAATCCAGCCACGGGCCCATCCATCTGGCCCATCAAGACTCACTCTCATTTCATCAGTCCATAAAACCTTAGAAAAACCAGTCTTGAGATATTTCTTGGCCCAGTCTTGACGTTTCAGCTTGTGTGTCTTGTTCAGTGGTGGTCGTCTTTCAGCCTTTCTTACCTTGGCCATGTCTCTGAGTATTGCACACCTTGTGCTTTTGGGCACTCCAGTGATGTTGCAGCTCTGAAATATGGCCAAACTGGTGGCAAGTGGCATCTTGGCAGCTGCACGCTTGACTTTTCTCAGTTCATGGGCAGTTATTTTGCGCCTTGGTTTTTCCACACGCTTCTTGCGACGCTGTTGACTATTTTGAATGAAACGCTTGATTGTTCGATGATCACACTTCAGAAGCTTTGCAATTTTGAGACTGCTGCATCCCTCTGCAAGATAGCTCACTATTTTTGACTTTTCTGAGCCTGTCAAGTCCTTCTTTTGACCCATTTTGCCAAAGGAAAGGACGTTGCCTAATAATTATGCACACCTGATATAGGGTGTTGATGTCATTAGACCACACCCCTTCTCATTAAAGAGATGCACATCACCTAATATGCCTAATTGGTAGTAGGCTTTCGAGCCTATACAGCTTGGAGTAAGACAACATGCATGAAGAGGATGATGTGGACAAAATACTCATTTGCCTAATAATTCTGCACTCCCTGTATAATTAGAATTTTAAAAAGTTAGACTGAAGTTTGTATTCTTATCTATTGATATTACTTTATCATTATGTTAATATAACACAAGGTTCAGTTAGCTTTGCACAAAAATAGAAATGTCCTCTAAAGAGCTACTTTTTACTTTCTCAGTTTGAATACATTTCAAAGACTGTACTTTTTTACTTTTACTTGAGTAAAGAAGTTGAATCAGTAATTCAACTTTTACTGGAGTATTTGTTAACAGTAGTGTTTGTATTTCTACTTAAGTACAGAGTGTCTGTGCTTTTGTCAACTCTTACTAAGCTTAGGACCTGGGGATGGAATAGCTGAGGAACAACTATTTGATAAATAGACTCATGTGTGCAACCAGAGTTTGAAGTCCAACAGTATGTCAGTAAGCCTCAAAACGTTGTCAAAATGTGTTTTTTTCCAGACCAAAGGAATGACAAGCTTTCATAGTTTTTCTGAGCTTCTATGACCTTTTCTTTGTCTACAGAGAGTGCTATGGCTTTTTTGTCCTCATAGAAGCTCTATTGAAACAAGTGCACTTTTACAGTCTGGTGTTTTAATGCCATTAAGATTCACTAAGTCTTCCTGTTTACAAGCCTGAACATGTCACAACACATACAAGCAATAGAAGGATTAAAATGTGAAATCTGTTTTTGTATCATGTGTCTGACTTTAAGTGAAGTGTCCTGTCGATTGGGCCAAATTTGGAATGAGCTGTTACTTTAAATCCACTGAGAGGAAAATTTGGCCTGAGAGCAAGGCAGACTGTCAGTCCAGAGGAGCCAACCTGGTGATCATAAACAACAAAGAGGAACAGGTGGGTGTGTTTGTTTGATGCAACTGCCAGAGGTTCTGTGTTTTTGACCATCTGTCCATCTACTGTCTATTGATCTATCTATTCTATAAAGGACAAGAGAAGTGAACTGAAATGTTTCATCTCATTTAGTTTTTCTTTCAGACAAATTCACAACATGATATTACAACAAAAGAAGTACTGAATTATGACTGGCCGAAATATTTATGTTTGTTTTCAATTAGGAATTTATTGAACTGAATATGAGAGGAGAGTCCTGGATTGGTCTGACAGCCAGTTACAAAAGTAAAACTGGGGAACATGAATGGGAATGGATGGATGGATCCCCGCTGACAGAGGCGTGAGACATTTTCCTTTAAATTAAAACCAAAACCAAAAAGTTATTATTTAATACCTCCATGTGTTGGAAGACAGAATGGCAATACATTAAGATAAGATAAGATAACTCTTTATTGTCATTGCACAGTCATACATAGTACAGTAGTACAATGAAATTGGAAAAAACTGTCCTACGTCGGCACTACATATAACACAACACGACACGATATGACACATCACAACGTAACAAACAACACAACACAGTATATTAACTTAGTATAAAAAAGAAGAATAAGTGTATGTGTATTGCACACTGTTATTATTGCACATTAATTATTATTGCACCTTGTTATAAATATAAATATTATTGTTATCGTTTTAAACATTGTTACCTCCCCCTAAAAAGTCCAGGGAGGTATCCAGTCAGGTCAGCTATTTACATTGATCAGGGCTATTGCCCTGTTGTAAAAGCTGTCCTTGAGTCTATTTGTTCGGGACCTCAGCAGCCTGAACCTCCTGCCAGACGGCAGCAGCTTAAACACCCGGTGTCCTGGGTGTGTGCAGTCCCGTAGGATGCTGCGTGCCCTCTTGAGACAGCGAGTGCTGTACAGGTCCTTCAGGGAGGGAAGAGGATGTCCAATGATTTTTTGGGCCATGTTGATTTCCCTCTGGAGTGCCTTTCTGTGTGCTGTGGTGCAGCTGGAGAACCACACACCGATGCAATATGTCAGCACACTTTCAATGGAGCAGCGGTAGAAGACGGTCAGCAGCTCCTTCTTCAGGTCCATTTTTCTGAGGATTCTCAGAAAGTGGAGACGCTGTTGGGCCTTCTTTAAGACCGCAGAGGTGTTAGAGCTCCATTGGAGGTCTGTGTCTATGTGCACACCCAGAAACTTGAAACTGGAGACCCTTTCCACGCACTCCCCGTTGATGCTGACAGGCTGCAGCTCGGACTTCCTCCTTCTGAAGTCAACTACCAGTTCTTTTGTTTTGGTGGTATTGAGGTCCAGGTTGTTGTCTGCACACCAATCTGACAGCCTCTGAACTTCAGCTCTGTATGCAGTCTCATCTCCCCCTGAGATGAGCCCCACCACAGTGGTATCATCTGCAAACTTGATGACTGTGTTGTCTGGGTGGGAACTAACACAGTCATGTGTGTACAGAGTGTACAGTAGGGGACTCAGTACACAGCCTTGTGGAGAGCCGGTGTTGAGGCTGAGGGCTGAGGAAAGATGAGGCCCCACTCTAACTCTCTGTACACGGTCTGAGAGGAAGTCTCTGATCCAGCGGCAGGTGGTGGAAGGAAGTCCAATTTCCAGCAGTTTATCTATTAGTCTGTCCGGGAGTATCGTATTGAAAGCAGAGCTAAAGTCAACAAAGAGCAGCCTGGCGTAACGGCCCTGCACTTCCAGGTGAGAGATGGTGGTGTGGAGCGTTGTAGCAATGGCATCTTCAGTTGATCTGTTAGCTCTGTATGCAAACTGGAGCGGGTCGAGTGTGGGTGGCAGGCAGGACATGATGTGACGTCGGACCAGTTTCTCAAAGCACTTCATTATAACAGGTGTTAGAGCAACTGGTCGGTAGTCGTTGAGGCTGCTAATGTTAGTACGCTTTGGCAGTGGGACAATTGTGGCTGACTTTAGGCACGGCGGGATGCAGGACTGGGACAGTGAAGTGTTGAAGATCTTAGTGAAGACCCCAGCCAGCTGGTCTGCACACTCTTTTAGGACATTTGCGGTTACCCCATCTGGTCCGGTGGCCTTCCTGGGGTTCACTGCCCTCAGTGTGCGCCTCACCTCATATTCCTGCACTATGAGGCTTGGGCTGCTGCTGACCGATGTTTTTGCTGCTGCTGCCTCTGGTCCCTTCACCTCAAAGCGTGCGAAGAAGTGGTTCAGCTCCTCTGCAAGCTCCGCGTTACCCTCAGTCAACGTGGTATTGCCAGGTTTGTAGTTGGTTAAGTGCTGAACTCCCTGCCATACCTGTCGTGAGTTGTTGGTGGTGAAGTGGTCTTCGATCCTTCTCTTGTACGCTGCCTTGGCCTCTCTGATGCCTCTTTTCAACTGAGATCTGGCTGCACTGTACTGCATACCATCACTGGATCTAAAAGCGGCGTCACGTTGCTTCAGCAGGACCTGGACCTCTTTAGTCATCCAGGGTTTCTGGTTGGAATACACCCGGAGACGTTTGTCCACAGTGACACTGTTGACACAGAAGTTAATATATGAGAGCACTGATGTTGTGTGCTCTTCAAGGTCCTGATGTTCGAACACGCTCCAGTCTGTGTTTTCAAAATAGTCCTGCAGCTGATGTGATGCACCTTCTGGCCAGGTTTTCACAGTTTTTGTGACTGGGGGGGCTCTTCTCCTAATGGGAGTGTATGCAGGGATCAACAGCATGGACATGTGGTCTGACAAACCTAGATGTGGTAGAGGGGTTGCTCTGTAGCCTTTTTGGATGTTGCTGTAGGCTTTATCCAATGTGTTTTTCCCCCTCGTTGCACATTTAATATGCTGTTCAAATCTGGGGAATACTGACCTTAAATCAGCATGGTTGAAGTCCCCAGCTATAATGTGCACTGCGTTTGGATGGGAGTTCTGCTGGTTGCTTATTGTCTTGTGCAGCTCCTCCATGGCAGAGTTAACATTAGCATCGGGTGGTACATACACGGCCGTTACCATGACAACAGTAAACTCGCGAGGTATGTAGACGGGTCTGCACTTCACAGTCAAGTATTCCAAATCCGGGGAACAGTGGCTGTCTACAGTCTTTGTGTTTTTGCACCAGCTGTCATTGGTGTAGATGCATAAACCCCCTCCTTTGATCTTACCGGAGTGGCCGTTCCTGTCGTGACGGTGGACCGTGCGGCCTGCTAGCTCAATAGCCGAGTCCGGAATTGATGGCTGCAGCCAAGTCTCTGTGAGTAATATTATGCTGCTGTCCCGTGCACACTTATTGACTGCAATTTGTAATCTCAGTTCGTCGATTTTGTTGGTTATGGACCTGACGTTGGAGAGGAAAATACTCGGAAGCGGTGGCTTAAATGGCTGTTTCTTTAGCCGAGCTAGTGAACCCGCCCTGCAGCCACGCTTTTGCCTCCTTTGTTTACGTTTCCTCTTTGTCTTGCCGCTGGGAAGAACCAACCACGGAGACCCTGGAGCTCTTATTATGTCCTCCGGAATGCTGTGAAAGTGGTGGTAGTCCGATGTAATGCTCCTTGCACAGCGTAATCCCAAACTCAAAAGGTCCTGACGACTGTAGGTGGACTCTACTCGATGTATAATGATAAAAAGCACACACATCCACACAGATACACGTAGAGAAAGTAAAAAACAAAACACCGAACGTGAGGAGCAGTGAGCCGCTGCGTCTGTGCGCGCCGCCATCTTGGGTAAGATCAGCAACCGAATATATGACCCACATTTAAAACCAATGTCTGTAAACAGGCCCCAGTCAGCGAGATCTTCAACGCACACCTCCGGCAGAGCTTCGACAGCATTCCGAGGGAGACTGGGGACATTGAGTCCGAATGGACCATGTTCAGAGTCTCCATTGCCGAAGCTGCTGCATTGAGCTGCGGCCGCAAGGTGGTGGGTGCCTGCCGTGGTGGTAATCCCCGAACCAAATGGTGGACACCAGAGGTGAAGGGAGCCACCAGGCTGAAGAAGGAGTCCTATCGGGCTTGGTTAGCCTGTGGGACTCCGGAGGCAGCCGACAGGTATCGACAGGCCAAGCTGAATGCGGCTCGGGCAGTGGCTGAAGCAAAAACTCGGGTGTGGGAGGAGTTCGGAGAGGCCATGGAAAAAGACTTTCGGACTGCCTCGAAGAGATTCTGGCAAACCGTCAGACGTCTCAGGAGGGGAAAGCGGTGCTCTACCTGCACTGTGTATAGTGCTGGCGGAGCGCTGCTGACATCGACTGAGAAAATTGTCAGGCGGTGGAAGGAATACTTCGAGGACCTCCTTAATCCCACTGACACGTCTTCCGAGGAGGAAGCAGAGTCTGGGGATGAGGGGAATGACCCGCCAATTTCCGGGGGCGAGGTCACTGAGGCAGTTAAACAACTCCTTGGTGGCAGAGCCCCTGGTGTTGATGAGGTCCGCCCCGAGTTCCTGAAGGCTCTGGACGTTGTAGGGCTGTCCTGGTTGACACGCCTCTGCAATGTTGCGTGGAGATCAGGGGCAGTACCTGTGGACTGGCAGACCGGGGTGGTGGTCCCCATCTTTAAGAAAGGGGACCGGAGGGTGTGTTCCAACTACAGGGGGATCACACTCCTCAGCCTCCCTGGGAAAGTCTATGCCAGGGTGCTGGAAAGGAGAGTTCGTCCGTTAGTCGAACCTCGGATACAGGAGGAACAATGCGGTTTTCGTCCTGGTCGCGGAACACTGGACCAGCTCTTTATCCTCTCCAGGATACTTGAGGGTGCATGGGAGTTTGCCCAACCAGTCTACATGTGTTTTGTGGACTTGGAGAAGGCATTCGACCGTGTCCCTCGGGGTGTCCTGTGGGAGGTGTTGCGGGAATATGGGGTGTCTGGCCCATTGCTACGGGCCATTCGATCCCTATACAACCGTTGCAAGAGCTTGGTTCGCATTGCCGGCAATAAGTCGGACTCGTTCCCGGTGGGTGATGGGCTTCGCCAGGGCTGCCCTTTGTCTCCGGTTCTGTTCATAATTTTTATGGACAGGATTTCTAGGCGCAGCCAAGTGGCGGAGGGCTTTCGCTTTGGTGGCCTCAGAATCTCATCTCTGATTTTTGCAGATGATGTGGTTCTGTTGGCTTCATCGGGTGAAGGCCTCCAGCTCGCACTGGAACGGTTCGCAGCCGAGTGTGAAGCAGCGGGAATGAGGATCAGCACCTCCAAATCTGAGGCCATGGTTCTCAGCCGGAAAAGGGTGGAGTGCCCACTCCGGGTCGGGGATGAGTTCCTGCCACAAGTGGAGGAGTTCAAGTATCTCGGGGTCTTGTTCGCGAGTGATGGGAGAAGGGAGCCGGAGATCGACAGACGGATTGGGGCTGCAGCTGCAGTAATGCGGACGCTGCACCGGTCCGTCGTGGTGAAGAGGGAGCTGAGTGTAAAAGCGAAGGTCTCAATTTACCGGTCGATCTACGTCCCTACCCTCACCTATGGCCACGAGCTGTGGGTAGTGACCGAAAGAACGAGATCGCGGATACAAGCGGCAGAAATGAGCTTCCTCCGAAGGGTGGCTGGCCTCTCCCTTAGAGATAGGGTGAGAAGTTCGGCCATCCGGGAGGGGCTCAGAGTAGAGCAGCTGCTGCTCCACATCGAAAGGAGCCAGCTGAGGTGGTTTCGGGCATCTGACAAGGATGCCCCCTGGGCGCCTCCTGGGTGAGGTGTTCCAGGCATGTCCCACCGGGAGGAGGCCCCTGGGCAGACCCAGGACACGCTGGAGAGATTATATCTCTCGGCTGGCCTGGGAACGCCTTGGTATTCCCCCGGATAAGCTGGAGGAGGTGGCTGGGGAGAGGGAGGTCTGGGCCTCTTTGCTTAGGCTGCTGCCCCGCGACCCGGCCCCGGACAAAGCGGATGAAGATGGATGGATGGATGGATGGATGGATGGATGGATGGATGGATGTCTGTAAACAGCTGAGAAAATATTTTCAAAGAGCAGAGAGTCAGCTCTGCCTTCTTTTCATTGTAAGTGTTTAGAGCATGAAGATTTAATATTCATAAAAAACTTGAAAACTGTTAATGTACATGATGATACTCAGAGAAAAGTCTAAAGCAGGTCAATTGCGACAGAAACCTGGAAAATGCTTATAGAGAATCATAGTTATATAAATGTGACAATTGACATGATTTTAGTCTAGTTTAATATAATTTTTTTTTTTTTATCCAACAGGTTTTGGGCGCCAGGCCAGCAGGATCCTGTTCATGGTTTTTCTGCAGTATGCTGTGAAATTAAGGGAAAATGGACACGATCACAATCTTCTATATCCAAGACCTGGATCTGTGAGAAATTATTTTTGACTGATGACATAAGGAAAATTAAAATTTCTGAATAATCCAAGTAGTTCTCCAACTTCAATTAGACATCATTAGTGTTAAATTTCATAAAGGTTTGTCATCTGTTACTCATGTTTTTGTTCTACTGTGAGCAACTTCCTGTCTTCACCACAATGGATCATTTTAATGTTCATATTTTTGACTTGGTATTCCAATATTTTATTGTTTGCTTAGGTTATTGATCATTGGTTTTGGACAGAAGTTTTTTTCTAAGGATGCAGGAAAGATTATCGCTGATTAATATGTATTTTAAGAATTCAAAACATTAAAAACATTGAATTCTTAAAATCTGTTTTTCATTAACTTTTAATGAGAAACAGATTATATGCACATAATAAAATGTTTACAGAATATGCAACAGAGAAAAATAAAATAGAAAATATAAATGTAAACTGTAAAATCAATTGTTTATTTTCTTAATGGAACAATGACAAACACACACCACACACACATATATATGACTGATTTCCTCGTAATAATAATATTATTTCTGCTCGTCTAAGGAGCTTGGAAAGAAAAGCGTCTGGACTTCTTTAAGTTGCTTGAAGACGTTTCACCTCTCATCTGAGAAGCTTCTTCAGTTCTGAGGTCAAATGGTGGAGAGTCCCTTTGTCCATCCTGGGGGGATACTCCCACTGGGTTTAAATCTGGGACCATTTGACCTTAGATCTGAAGAAGCTTCTTGGATGAGAGGTGAAACGTCTTCGAGCAACTTAAAGAAGTCCAGACGCTTTTCTTTCCAAGCTCCTTAGACTACGATGACATGGATGACTGAGAACCTTCACAGACATTATCTCTGCTCAACTAGGGATCATTGGGTACAAGTACTATATGTGAGCCTAGAATACTCTTGTCTACAAATTAGATGTCTATGAGAAAATTGTCCTTCCCTCCCTTTAGACATGTTGTCCATAAAAACCTTTCAGAAATGTATGGTGAGATGACAGTTTTAACGCTTACTGAATCCAACATTATGATCTTTTTTCTTTAACTATGGTCCCATTAGAATGAAAAAGGTCCATAAAGAAAGATATGTGTCGAAGCACATTTGCCCTGTTTCCGTCTGTCTGATTAATTTCAAAAGCCTAATAATGATGGTTATTAATCGCTGTCTCTTCCACATCGTGTCTTTTGTCCGGTCTTGCTCCTCTCACCCCGAACTGGTCATAACAGTTTGTCCTTTGCCAAAGTGCTTGCTCAAAGAGGATCATATGATTCTTTTTTTGTTTTCTCTGTATTATTGTAGGGTCTTTGCCTTAAAATATAAAATGCCTTGAGATGGCTGTTGTTTTTTATTGGCACTAAATAAATAAATTTCAACTGATTTGAAAAAAAAATGTACTGAATTTGATTCGACTGGCCTAATATGCACCGCTTTGACCACGAAGAGGATTCCAACACACAAAATTAATTGTATGTGACTGTAGCTCCTGACACTAAAGAGTCACTCCAGGAGCTCACAGTAGCTGAAATGCAGAGGGGCAGAATTCAGGAATGTCTGGCTGCCTTTCAAGCATGAATGAATTCACTGAGTCCTTTTAATCTCACAGGCTGGAGGAGAACACCATCAAAACATTTTAAAGATTTCATTTAATTGAGAAAGTTTTCTGCAAAAAAAGTTAGTTATATAAATGTACCGCTGTACTTTGTTGTTTTTATGATAACATCTGTTGTCAACATATCTGTGACATACTTGAAGAGAATATTCAACTGAGAAATGACAATGACTCAAGGACTTTGAGCTGCTCTCCAGCAAGTTGTATTCTGAACCCAATGGAGTGGATGCAGAACTCAATAACAGATGAGCCACAGAATTCAGAATGGAAACTAACAGGTCATCAGAGTCAGCATCAATTGTTTTATGAACATTTTCAGTCTTAATTTTCTTGTATTCCTTTCTGATTTCTTCAAAAGTTAAAATATTCAGTTTGATGGAACATTACCAGCAAGCCCTTAAGTTATCTAAAGACCTTAATTAAATATTGCTATTACTTTTTCCAAATATGTACTTTAGAATAATTGAAAATGATTATTTGATAAATGACTGTAAATATGTGGCAAATATGTGCATTAATGTTAATATTTGTACAGAGAAATAAAAAAAAAACATTCAGCTGTTAAATATTCTTTTTATCATCAAAAAAGTCAACCTGATAAAAAAACAAAAACAGCAGGTTTGATCAGTGTGCATATATCAGCAGATCCTTTAGCTCAAATAGCATTAAAGGCATCAATAAACAATAAAAACATTTCAGTCTTTTTTCATAAAGGTGAACACAATTCAAAAAATGTGTATTTATGCCTTCTTTAGCTTAATTTTCTTAATACGAGCTAAAGTTTAGAATATGAAATATACAAATATTTTCTTCAATTTTCCTCATAATGTAATTCACCCAGCTCTTACTTGCAAAGTGCTTCACAGAGCAACAAATTACAACAAATCAATGACACAAAACCATAACAAATGAAAAAAAAAAGTCTTATAAAAGATATATGAAACACTAATGATGGAGACACTCTGACCTCAGTAAGACTGTTCCAGAGTTTGGCAGCTTCAGTCATCTCTGTTTACAAGCTGAAAATTCTAAATAATGAGAAGACCTCTAATCCCAAAAGGACCTGACTGTGACTGTGTTATGTGACTTTTATTTTGGCACAATCAAACAAAGTTTGTAACTCGTGGCACTTTCCAGTGCACACTGCTCTGGCTCCGGTGCTCTTCTCCAGCAGCAGATTCCTCTCTCTGGCCTGGCTGCTACTGAAATAGGGAAGGCATGATTAGAAGATGCTCGCTGGCTGTGACAAACAAGTGTCCCTGACACCACACCCTGAACCTGCCACTCCACTCCTCCACTCTGGCCAAGCCACCAACCACACCCCGCAACAAGCTCTTTTCACAGAATGCTTTAAAAATACATGTTAAAATCAATGTGTAGTGCTGTGTTTGTTTCTGTGGTCTATGGATTCAGTCTCGAGAATTCAAATATGTTGCCAGAAAGGTCCAGAACACAATGTTAGTCCCACTGCCTCTGTTCGGTGGTGTCGAGCCAAACGGACTTTAACGTGTTTTCGAACGAGCTGACGGTTCACTCGTTAAGCTGAAAGAAAGATGCTTTAATCACAGGAGTCACACATGTGTCCACTGTACCATCTGGGAACTCTTCTTGTTTAGCACTCGTAATAACACAAACACTAAATCCTCCTTCTCTTGTGCTGTTTTGTAGCAGTGTGTACACCTGAGACTGTCACCTGTCTGTCTGTCCTGCACTCTCTCTCTTTTTCTTTCTCTCTGATTGTGTAATAAAAGTATGAACGTGTGTTTATAAGTTACACTTGTGTTTGAATCCTGCAGCTTATCACACATTTGATTTCCATGTGTGACAACTGCAAGTGTCCAGAGTGAGGACAGACTGAGGGACCCACTGCTGCACATCATCTGTGAGGCTTTGCACCCCTGATGATCCACCAGGAAAAACTCAGCAGTATGTGAGGAAGAGGAGGAGGAAGAGCCAGCAGCAGCTGACAGATGGAGAGAATAGACAGACTGTTCCCTGTTTGTGAAGGACTGCTAGAAAAGTTGAAAGTAACGAATTGTCTGTCCTGAATCAGTCTTATTAGGTAATGTTAATAAGACTGTTAATAATGGTAATGTTAACCCTTTAGAGCCGATCGGAGCGGGAACGCTCTATTTTGCGTAACTATTTTTAAATCCCAGTAGCACTGCAACCACGTAAGCTAGCGCTAAAATTTTTTTTGCATATGAAACCGGAGGAGTTGTACTTACATCTTATGCCATCAGCTTGTCCTAGGTCACGGTTTCCTTCCACATAAAGCTTTGCAAAAACTGCATAAAAAGCGCTTGCAGGAACAAAAACATAATATTCCAGAAACACGCTTTACCGATCCGATCAGCTGTTCATAACACTTCCTATGTTGGAATAGACGTCAGCGCGAACTTTTGCATTTCCGCCATTACCTGCCCGAGGCCGGAAGTGACGTCATTTTCGCGGAAATGTAGTCTTTTTTGCCATCAGGGCCTCAGGGCCTATACTGCTCTTTTTAAAAGTTATCTTTGACTTTATGACTTTCTGTGTCGTTTCTGGGATGCTTAGGACTCATATTCCACTGCTGGAAATAGTTTATTTTGATGCATATGCTGCTTTTTTGCAAATTTGCAGTATAATATTTATTTTCGTTTTTCCTGCAGTGTATAAAAATTGGTGTATTTCAAAAATAAAACTATGAAGACACTCAAAATAAATTTCCTGTGGTGGGAAACTATTTTGTGCAACTTTTTTGTATTTACAGTTTTGAGGGATAAGCCTCTTAAATTTCTCTAACTACAAATATATGTTAAAAAATCAAAAATGATTTTCAATTTTTTTGTAGTTTATTGCACTTTTTTGCAATTTATGTAATTACTATGCACTTAATGAATACATATTATTAAAATCTGGGCTATAATGGTTGCATTGATGTATAGCAACTTGAAATGCTCCCAAAAATGGCTCCACAGCATGTAAAAATATAATATAAGCTCTGGCGGACTTGGTTCTATGGTAGGTCTTAAAGGGTTAATAAGAAAGTACTCAGGGCCTTCAAGTTAAACACTATGAAAGGCAGCAACAAGTTTAATGTTCAGAAACCTAAAGTATGTATCAGCAGCAGAATGGAGCTAAAAATAAATGTTTGTTTCAGTTCTATGAAGCTTTGAGTATTTTGGATTAGTAGCACTGCTGTGTTTGTTGCATCATATTGCTGTAGTTGTGTATATGCTTTATATATTCTGAGGTAAGTTGATCTATAGTGTTACTATAAGTGGTACTATAAGGATGTTATGTGTTTGTAGACTTTCTGCCCAGTTTGACCCATTTAGCAGAAGTCAGCCTGTTTAAGGCTCTGATATCTATTCTGTATGACTTAAAGCAGTTATGACATGGTCTGATTTTTAGTTACAGAAGAATTTCTAATCTACTGAAGGTTCCTGTGAGCATTGTTGGGGCCATAACAAAAAGAGCTGTCCAAGAGCCAAGGACCACTTGTAGAGAGCTACAAAAGACCTGGAATCAGCAGGTACAATTGCTTCGAAGAAAACAATATACACTCAATTGTTTTCCTTTATGCACGCTCACCATGCAAGACACCATGGCTGAAGAAAAAAAACATGCTGAAGCAAGTTTAAACATTTGGAGAAGCCTGTGAAATACTGGGAGAATATAGTTTAGTCCAGGGGTGGGCAATTCCAGGCCTCGAGGGCCGGTGTCCTGCAGGTTTTAGATCTCACCTTGGGTCAACACACCTCAATCACATGATTAGTTTGTTACCAGGCCTCTGGAGAACTTCAGGACATGTTGAGGAGCTAATTTAGCCATTTAAATCAGCTGTGTTGGTTCAAGGACACATCTAAAACCTGCAGGGACACCGGCCCTCGAGGCCCGGAATTGCCCACCCCTGGTCTAGTCAAATGAAACCAAAATTAAACTGTTTGGGTGCCATAATACACACAATGTCGGGGGTCATAAGGCACTGCATACCTTAAAAACATATCTACAGGAAGTTTTCGGTGGGAACAGTATAGCATGGGCTGTTTAGGTATTTCATGCTTCATATAATTGAAGGAAGGATGACAGAAAAAAAATTGTATTCTTGATAAAAAAAAAGCTTGCCATCTGGAATAAAGACAATTGTATTGATTAAAGTGATTGTTGATGGAGCATTTAAACACCAAGTGTTGTTCTTCCTTCAGCCCGAAGACCAAAGAGTTGGGGTTCTTAACAAGATGAATCAAGGTAATTTCAACAGGACAATGAACCTAGGCACACAGCCAAGGAACCTCTCAGCTGGTTTCAGAGAAAGAAAAAAAGCTGCTAGAATGGCCCAGCCAATCACCTGACCTAAATGCAAGTTAAAATCTATGGAATGAAGTAAAGGTTACAGTGGCTTGCAAAAGTATTCGGCCCCCTTGAACTTTTCCACATTTTGTCACATTACAGCCACAAAAATGATTCAATTTTATTGGAATTCCACGTGAAAGACCAACACAAAGTGGTGTACACGTGAGAAGTGAACAGCAGTTTTCAGATCTTGCCACAGATTCTCGTTTGGATTTAGATCTGGACTTTGACTGGGCCATTCTAACACATGGATATGTTTTGTTTTAAACCATTCCATTGTTGCTCTGGCTTTATGTTTAGGGTCGTTTTCCTGCTGGAAGGTGAACCTCCGCCCCAGTCTCAAGTCTTTTGCAGACTCCAAGAGGTTTTCTTCCAAGATTGCTCTGTATTTGGCTCCATCCATCTTCCCATCAACTCTGACCAGCTTCCCTGTCCCTGCTGAAGAGAAGCACCCCAGAGCATGATGCTGCCACCACCATATTTGACAGTTGGGATGGTGTGTTCAGAGTGATGTGCAGTGTTAGTTTTCCACCACACATAGCGTTTTGCATTTTGGCCAAAAAGTTCCATTTTGGTCTCATCTGACCAGAGCAGCTTCTTCCACATGTTTGCTGTGTCCACCACATGGCTTGTGGCAAACTGCAAACGGGACTTCTTATGGTTTTCTGTTAACAATGGCTTTCTTCTTGCCACTCTTCCATAAAGGCCAACTTTGTGCAGTGCATGACTAATAGTTGTCCTATGGACAGATTCCCCCACCTGAGCTGTAGATCTCTGCAGCTCATCCAGAGTCACCATGGGCCTCTTGGCTGCATTTCTGATCAGCGCTCTCCTTGTTCGGCCTGTGAGTTTAGGTGGACGGCCTTGTCTTGGTAGGTTTACAGTTGTGCCATACTCCTTCCATTTCTGAATGATCACTTGAACAGAGCTCCGTGGGATGTTCAAGGCTTGGGAAATCTTTTTGTAGCCTAAGCCTGCTTTAAATTTCTCAATAACTTTATCCCTGACCTGTCTGGTGTGTTCTTTGGACTTCATGGTGTTGTTGCTCCCAATATTCTCTTAGACAACCTCTGAGGCCGTCACAGAGCAGCTGTATTTGTACTGACATTAGATTACACACAGGTGCACTCTGTTTAGTCATTAGCACTTATCGGGCAATGTCTATGGGCAACTGACTGCACTCAGACCAAAGGGGGCTGAATAATTACGCACAGTGTTTTCGTCCCATTCACAGCCATCTATCCTCTGTAAAATGTGGACACCTGAAGAGACAAACATAAAATAAGATACTGCAGTGAACTATGTTATTATTGTATATTTGTGATGAGATACTGCTCATCTCCAAGGTTTGTGTTGTGCTTATTGTTCAAGTCAGTCCTTTTATTTAACCTAACCAGGATAAAAGAAGTTCTAACTATTCAAGATTACAAGGCAACATAGAAAAAAGCTATCACCATTTGCTATCGCTAGCAAATGGTGATAGCTTTCATTAACATAAAGTTTTGGTTAATCCGAACTGAATAATCAGATATTATTGTTCAGTTCCAATGTTGATACGAGACCAGCATTGTTCTGATGAAAGGAACAACACCAACAAAGGGATATCAGATCGTGAAACTCCCAATGTTAACCATTACCTCCAGTCTCCCTGCTGTCTTTCCATCTCCAAACCATAAAATGTGCCAAAAAGTGATATCCAATGTTCATTGTGTTTTTTAAGTGTAATGTCTTTACTTATATTAGTAAATAGACTTTAGTGAACAGGATTTACAAAGGGATTATATATAAAATTTTAAAATTACCTGTTTTTCAAGTATCTTTAAGACTCTGTGTTATCGTACCTACATTATAACAAACTCAGTCA